ATGCCCTGCGCACTTACAACATATCCTAGAAACACAACACGATCAGTGCAAAATGTGCACTTCTTAAGGTTGGCATATAGCCTTTCCCTTCGAAGTACTGCAAAGATGGCTTTGAGGTGCTCAAGGTGTTCCTCTAAGCTTCTACTATAAATCAGAATATCATCAAAGTAAACCACTACAAATTTCCCAAGAAAAGGTCTCAAAACATGGTTCATCAAACGCATGAAGGTACTAGGTGCATTAGTTAAGCCAAATGGCATTACTAACCACTCGTATAGACCATGTTTAGTTTTGAAAGCGGTTTTCCACTCATCTCCCTCTTTCATTCTTATTTGGTGGTAACCACTTTTCAAATCAATTTTAGTGAATATAATGGCACCATGCAATTCATCTAACATATCATCTAACCTAGGGATAGGGTGACGATATTTTACCGTGATTGCATTGACTGCTCGACAGTCGGTGCACATTTTCCACGCTCCATCTTTCTTTGGCACGAGAATCACTGGTACAGCGCATGGACTTAGACTTTCTCTAGCCCAACCTTTCCTTAGCAATTCCTCCACTTGCCTTTGCAATTCCTTTGTTTCCTCAGGACCCATTCTATAGGCTGGTTTGTTAGGCAATGGTGCTCCAGGAATGAGATCGATTTGGTGCTCGATTCCCCTTAGCGGTGGTAGTCCATCAGGTACATCCTCAGGAAATATGCCCTCAAATTCCTGCAAGAGAGGTAACATAGTAGAAGGCAAGGAGTCAGTAGGTATGGATGAATTGACCAACTCTTCTTTGCACACAAGCATAAGTAAGAGTTGGTTGGAAGACAAATCTCGCCTTACATCTTTGGCTTTTGCTAGCAAGCTTAGCTTTCCCTTATTTTCTTCTCTCATAGCCGACCCACTTGTTGCCTTTTTCTTTCCTAGGGTTTCGGCCCTACTCTCTCCTTTTTCTTCCTCACTTTTCTCTCGCTTTTTCCTCTCAAGTTCTAGCTCATACTCCTTTTGGAGCCTCATTTGATCTTCATACACTTGTTTTGGGGTGAGAGGTACAAGTGTCACCATTTTATTGCAATGAGTAAAGACATATTTATTAGCTCTTCCCTTGAATTCGACATCGCGATCATATTGCCAAGGCCGTCCAAGAATGAGGTGACTTGCTTGCATTGGCACGACATCACAAGTAACCTCGTCTTCATACTTGCCAATTCGGAATGGTACTTTTACTTGTCTAAACACACGTACTTCCCCTTCATTGTTCAACCATTGAAGGCGATAAGGTCTTGGATGTCTGATAACTTGGAGCCCTAGCATTTCTACCATGAGTAGACTAGCGACATTGGCACAACTCCCACTATCAATAACAACACTACACACCTTATCCTTGATATGACACCTTGTGTAGAAAAGGTTGTCCCGTTGTATCTCCATTTCCTCCTCTTTGGCGCGGGTAGTGAGGACCTTTCGAACCACTAGGCATCCAATCTCCTCATGCGTAGGTATCTCCTCACTCGATTCATTCTCTTCCTCTTCTAGAGGTGGTATCCCCTCGTACTCCTCTTCCTCATCTGATACAATTTCCCCATTTGGCAACATCAGCATGGTCCTTTGGCTGGGGCATTGAGAAGCGATATGGCCAAATCCTTGACACTTAAAACACTTGGTGTCTCGACCACGCGGTTTGGTAGCTGCATTATTAGCCTTAAAGTCAGGCTTGGGCGTTGCCTTGGAAGGGAGGCCATTCGGCCTTGGAGGGTAAGAAGGAGCTGCGGCTTTCTCCTCCCTTTTTGGTTGAGAAGTGCGCCAATTTCCAGCTGGATAAGTAGTGCTTTGTCGCGCAGTACCCCTCCTCTTGAGGCGTCGTTCAATTGTAACCGCCTTCTCGAGCATTTCATTCATGTCGAGGTAGTGTTGGAGTTCCACTACTTCGGCAATCTCGGGCCTCAATCCATGTAGAAAACGAGCCATAGTGGCCTCTCCATCTTCACGCAAATCCGCCTTCATGATGGCCATTTCCATCTCCTTGTAATAATCCTCAACTGACATGGACCCTTGGTTGAGAGCTTGTAGCCGACGGTGTAGATCTCGACTATAGTAGCTCGGAACAAACCTTTTTCTCATCAGACTCCTCATTTCCTCCCAAGTTTCCACAGGTCTCTCACGATTTCTCCTTCGGCTTAGTCTAAGTTGGTCCCACCAAATGGAGGCGTAGTCAGTGAATTCTACGGCTGCTAGTTTCACCTTTTGCTCCTCCGTATAGGTGTGGCATTCATAGACTAACTCAATTTTCCGTTCCCACTCCAAGTACGCCTCGGGGTCCGACTTGCCTTGGAATGAGGGAATCTTGAGTTTGACACCTTTAATGGTGTCATCTCCTCGACGTTGGAACCTTTGATCATTTTGGTACCTTCCCTCAAACGCTTCCTCTTCATCGTTTGAGTATGCCGATTCTTTGCCCTTACTCGGGGTAGGTGGAGGTCTCGAGTTCTCCAACTGATCAATTCGATCATGCAATGGTTCAATTTCATTCTTAAGCAATCGTTTGAACTCCCTCATCATGGCTTCCAACTGTAGTTTGATGTCCATGGTTTGTTCACCAACTTCACTAGACATATTTAGTCCACCTGCAAAACAAATAAACAAAAACGAGTTCCTCTCTTTTTTTTTTTAATACGATGTATAGGTCACTCACACTCGTGTTTCACTCAAGTGTATCACTCTCTAATAATCTTACCAAGCAATTCCTTGGCTTGCTAGTTGCTCGGGTTGAACAAACTAGGCGTCACCGCAGTATACGTTCTTGACTAGTCAACAAGTGACACACAAGCTAGTAGCAATAAATGGAGGTGTATGACTGAAGACCTAGACACGACTCAAGACTCAGAATATAGCTGGACAATAACTAACGACTCAAAAGAAAGTAAGACAATTAACTTGAATGCTGAAATTTTGAAAATCCTAGAAAACTCTACCCGAAACCCAATTTTCTGGAATTTGTTGAGCTGCTGGTCCGTGGTCTTTTTGGTAAGGGTTTTGGAGTATTTTGGGTGGCCTTAGGCTGCTCAAATAATGGGCAATCTACTACCTAAAACTCAGCCCAATCGGGTGTCACAATTGCTCCAACGGTTTTAGGAAAATTCAAGAATTCAAGATTCGGAAATTGGAAAGTTTGATCTGATTTGGACACTTGGGGTTGCCAAGGATTGGAAACCTTGGAGTTTGGTCAGATTTGGGAGTCCCAAGTGGTTCAAATTCGAAATTTTGGGGCTGGTCAGATTTGGAAGTCAGATTTTGCACCAAATTTGGTAAACTTGTAGGCTGTCAAGAATTGGATGTTGTTCAGATTTGGAAGTCCAAGTTTGAATCAGATTTGGTGGCTTGAAGGCTGACCAAGACTAGGGCTGTTCAGATTTGGAAAGTCCAAGTTTGAATCAGATTTGGTAAAACTTGAAGGCTGGTCAAGAATTGGAAACTAGAGCCGTCTTTCTTGAAAAATTTTTTTTTTGACCTTTGAATCAGATTTGGTAAAACTTGAAGGCTGGTCAAGAATTGGAAACTAGAGCCGTCTTTCTTGATTTTTTTTGACTTCTGTTGGGGTGTTTTCACACAATAGCCAGCTAGTTTAGACCACAATTTCACAGCAATTAACGTAAACAACTTGGACAGATTTGGTTTCAAGATCAAAGTTCCATGAAAACAAGAACACGGTTGAAGGTTTATTTCAGGTTTCAAGACTGCCAAGATTAACCTCTTTGATCCAAGAAGCTCAAGACTTCCCCAATAAGGTTTTGATGTTCGAGTTTTGCAAAGCAACAACACAAAGGTTCAAGAAACAAGTGCAAACAGATTCGGTATCCCAGCAAATTAATTCCAGCAACGACTCAAGGGAATGACAATAAGGTATGCATCACAATAGATTTTTTTTTTTTTGGATTTAAACAGAACATAAACACAAGACAAAACTGGACAGAAAATTTCGGACAACAACTAAACAACAAAGACAGATTTCTGACAAGGAAACAACCAAGACAGATTTCAGACTTGACAAACCCGAGCACTTGAGCTACGAATTTAGAAGACTAAAACAGATCTAAAAACAATAAAAAAGGATATTCGTGATACCTCTAACCAGCTCTGATACCAGCTGATGCGAGCGATGGAAGCTATTTCGGATCTAGAGGAACACGATGAAGATTTGATGGAGTTGAACCCGAACTTGGACCACTCAAGAACAGATTTAACGGTAGAGGACGCCACAATCAAGTATGTGTGCTTGATTGATAAGTCACGAACAGCCTAGGATCAGCTCTAGGATGTTCAACTTAGCTTTCACAAGCTAAGGGAATTTGCCACAAGGAATGGACGAAATTCTGGAAATTTTATTCAATACTCTCAAAAACTCCATGTAACAGCGAGACCCCCGTACGGCTCAGCGAGGGTACTTACTGCGGCTCAGCCCGCCGTTTGGAGCTTGAACACTTACATCTTCAATTGTAAGCAGCATTTTAGTAGTCGTGCAAGGATGTTCCAACTCAATTCCTTCAATGCCCGGTTTCTCATGGGTTTGGATGGCACGTACCAAGGCTTGGAGGGACTCCTTGAATCTCTTAGCTCGTCCTCGTGTCACTGGGCCTTGGGGCACCTTCACAGGGTCTACTTGTACACTTTGGGCCTCGTGCTCAACCGCATCACACACCCTGCAAACGGACAACCTCAATAAATAAAAGATCAGCTACGTGAGTGGCATCGTCCGTCTTGTGACATGGAATGAAATGAGCCATTTTAGAAAATCTATCTACAATGACAAAAAAGCTATCATGACCCTTTTTACTCCTAGGCAGACCAAGCACAAAATTCATTGAAATGTCAATCCAAGGTTCTGAAGGAATAGGTAGAGATGTATACGAACTGAAGGTTTGGAGCTTGGACTTGGCACGGTGAACAGGTAATGGAGCGTGACACTCCTCGCTTGACGTCCCGCCTCATGCGTGACCAATAGAGGTGCTCCTACAAAGCACTCAATGTCTTGGTGACACCAAAGTGTCTCATCAAACCACCTCCGTGAGCTTCACGGGTTAGTAATTCTCGAACAGAACATGACGGAATGCACAATTTATCATTACAATACAAAAATCCATTATGTATGAAGAATTTTGCCTGACCCGACTTAGCACATGACTTGTAGATTTCAGAAAAATCAGAGTCCGTATCATAGAGTTCTTTAATAAGATCAATGCCAAGGAGTTTAGCATCAAGCAAAGCAATTAGAGCATACCTCCTTGACAGTGCATCGGCAACGACGTTGGTCTTGCCAGCTTTGTACTTGATCGAATAGGGAAAGGACTCCACAAAATTGACCCACCGTACGTTTCTCTTACTCAACTTGTGTTGAGACTTGAGACGCTTTAGTGCCTCGCGGTCAGTGTGGATGACAAACTCCTTAGGCCGCAGGTAATGTTGCCATGTCTCCAATGTATAAATCAAAGCATAGAGCACCTTATCGTAGGTGAAGTAGTTCAAGGCAGCACCATTCAATTTCTCGCTAAACTACGTGAGCGGCCTTTCCTCTTGGATCAATACGGCTCCAATTCCTACACCAGAAGCATCGCACTCAATCTCAAATGTGTGTGAGCTTGTGTATAAGGAGCTGGAACGCCTTTCCCTGAGCTTACCCCGCACGAACTTCACATCCTTCTTGATAATGGCAGTCAGAGGGGCCTCAATAGTACTGAAATGCCTCACGAGGCCGTGGAAACTTCGAACTTCGCTCATGGTCTTGGGCACGTGCCACTCATGGTCACCGAGACCCCTAAACCAGTTCAGCGTCGGGACAAACTACGTAGCTCACTACAGTGCTATTGCCCTAAGGCCCACATGGTGTTGCCATGCACTACTCCACCTATAATAAGGAGCTCTATGCTTTGATTCGTGCATTGGAGACATGGCAACATTACCTGCGGCCTAACGAGTTCGTCATCCACACTGACCACGAGGCACTAAAGCATCTCAAGACTCAACACAAGTTGAGTAAGAGACACGTATGGTGGGTCAATTTTGTAGAGTCCTTTCCCTATGTGATCAGGTACAAAGCTGGCGAGACTAACGTCGTTGCCGATGCACTGTCCAGGAGGTATGCTCTAATTGCTTTGCTTGATGCTAAACTCCTTGGCTTTGATCTTATCAAAGAACTCTATTATACCGACTCTGATTTCTCTAAAATCTACAAGTCATGTGCTAACTCGGGTCAGCGTAAGTTCTTCACACATGATGGATTTTTGTATTGTAATGATAAATTGCGCATTCCGTCATGTTCTGTTCGAGAGCTACTAACCCGGGAAGCTCACGGATGTGGTTTGACGGGACACTTTGGTGTCACCAAGACATTGAGTGCTTTGCAGGAGCATTTCAATTGGCCACGCATGAGGCGGGACGTGGAGCGAGTAGTGTCACGCTGCATTACCTGTCACCGTGCCATGTCCAAGCTCCAACCCTTCAGTTTGTATACACCTCTACCAATTCCTTCAGAACCTTGGGTTGACATTTCAATGGATTTTGTGCTTGGTCTGCCTAGGAGTAAAAAGGGTCGTGATAGCTTTTTTGTCAATGTTGATAGATTTTCGAAAATGGCTCATTTCATTCCATTTCACAAGACGGACGATGCCACTCACGTAGCTGATCTTTTCTTTACGGAGGTTGTCCGTTTGCATGGTGTGCCTAGGACTATTGTGTCTGATAGGGATGTCAAGTTTCTGTCTTATTTCGGGAAAACCGTGTGAGGGAAGTCGGGGACTAAGTTGTTATTCTCTACATCCGGCACCGCCAGACCGATGGCCAGACTGAGGTCGTTAACCGCACATTGTCTACTTTACTTAGGGCCATCATTAAAAAGAATCTCGAAACTTGGGAGGAGTGTTTACCATATGTCGAGTTTGCTTGTAACCGTACAGTTCATAGTTCTACACTGTTTTCTCCTTTTGAAATTTTTTACGATTTTAATTCTTTGACTCCCTTGGATTTGATGCCTTTGCCTTTGTCTGAGCGTACTAACTTTGATGGCAAGGAGAAGGTCAAGTTTGTCCAGACTTTGCACCAGCAGGTGAGGGCCAACATTGAAACTCGTACCCAGCAATACCTCAAGCATGCCAACAAGGGTCGACGTCGCGTGGTGTTTGAATCAGGTGACTGGGTCGGTTACACCTGCGCAAGAAGCGTTTCCCTGTCCAGCGTCGCAACAAATTGCTACCCCGGGGAGATGGACCATTCAATGTTGTGGGACGCATCAATGACAACGCCTATAAGCTCGATCTTCCGGGTGAGTATACCGTCTCGGCAACCTTTAATGTTGCTGACCTAAGTCCCTATTTTACAGATGATGAGGTCGATTTGAGGACAAACGTTTCGCGAGAAGAGGGGAATAATGAGGAGGTCGAAGGAGCTGTCCAAGTGGAGCAAATGAAGGTGCCATTGGAGCCCATGACACGATCTCGCGCCTAAGAGATTAAATGAGACACTGCAAACATTGGTTCGTGTGACTCGATAGTCAAGTGGAGAGCCAAAGGACATCGAGGGCCTCAATGAAGCAAGGCTTGTTGTTCTAGTTTCGGCCATCACTGAAGATTAGAAGGCCATGAGTCGGCTAAGGGGTCCACGCCCTATTATTAGTTTAGTAGAATGCAATAAAGAGGTCCAACTAGTTTATGGTTTGGGCCATAGTTCTTGGGTCAATGGGCCGGGCCATGTGGGACTTATGGCCAATAGCACTTTAGTGAGCTACGTAGTTAGTCCCTACGCTGAGCTAGTTCAGGGGTGTCGCAGACCATGAGTGGCCCGTGCCCAAGACCATTAGCGAAGTTTGAAGTTTTCACGGCCTCGTGAGTTTCTATCGCCGGTTCGTGAGGGATTTCAGTACTATTGCTGCCTTTCTGATCGCCATTATCAAGAAAGATGTGAAATTCGAGTGGGGGAAGCCAAGGAAAAAGCGTTCCAACTCCTTAAACACAAGCTCACACACGCACCCTTATTGTCCTTACCTGCCTTTGATAAAACATTTGAGATTGAGTGTGATGCTTCAGGTCTAGGAATTGGAGCCGTATTGATCCAAGTGGGAAGGCCGCTCGCGTACTTTAGCGAGAAATTGAATAGTGCTGCCTTGAACTACTCCACCTATAATAAGGAGCTCTATGCTTTCATTCGTGCATTGGAGACATGGCAACATTACCTGCGGCCTAAGGAGTTCGTCATCCACACTGACCACGAGGCACTAAAGCATCTCAAGACTCAACACAAGTTGAGTAAGAGACACGTATGGCGGGTCAATTTTGTGGAGTCCTTTCCCTATGTCATCAGGTACAAAGCTGGCGAGACTAATGTCGTTGCCGATGCACTGTCCAGGAGGTATGCTCTAATTGCTTTGCTTGATGCTAAACTCCTTGGCTTTGATCTTATCAAAGAACTCTATGATACCGACTCTGATTTTTCTAAAATCTACAAGTCATGTGCTAACTCGGGTCAGCGTAAGTTCTTCACACATGATGGATTTTTGTATTGTAATGATAAATTGCGCATTCCGTCATGTTCTGTTCGAGAGTTACTAACCCGTGAAGCTCACGGATGTGGTTTGACGGGACACTTTGGTGTCACCAAGACATTGAGTGCTTTGCAGGAGCATTTCTATTGGCCACGCATGAGGCGGGACGTGGAGCGAGTAGTGTCACGCTGCATTACTTGTCACCGTGCCATGTCCAAGCTCCAACCCTTCAGTTTGTATACACCTCTACCAATTCCTTCAGAACCGTGGGTTGACATTTCAATGGATTTTGTGCTTGGTCTGCCTAGGAGTAAAAAGGGTCATGATAGCTTTTTTGTCAATGTTGATAGATTTTCGAAAATGGCTCATTTCATTACATTTCACAAGACGGACGATGCCACTCACGTAGCTGATCTTTTCCTTACGGAGGTTGTCCGTTAGCATGGTGTGCCTAGGACTATTGTGTCAGATAGGGATGTCAAGTTTCTGTCTTATTTCTGGAAAACCACGTGGGGGAAGTTGGGGACTAAGTTGTTATTCTCTACATCCGTCACCGCCAGACCGATGGCCAGACTGAGGTCGTTAACCGCACATTGTCTACTTTACTTAGGGCCATCATTAAAAAGAATCTCGAAACTTGGGAGGAGTGTTTACCATATGTCGAGTTTGCTTGTAACCGTACAGTTCATAGTTCTACACTGTTTTCTCCTTTTGAAATTTTTTACGATTTTAATTCTTTGACTCCCTTGGATTTGATGCCTTTGCCTTTGTCTGAGCGTACTAACTTTGATGGCAAGGAGAAGGTCAAGTTTGTCCAGACTTTGCACCAGCAGGTGAGGGCCAACATTGAAACTCGTACCCAGCAATACCTCAAGCATGCCAACAAGGGTCGACGTCGCGTGGTGTTTGAATCAGGTGACTGGGTCGGTTACACCTGCGCAAGAAGCGTTTCCCTGTCCAGCGTCGCAACAAATTGCTACCCCGGGGAGATGGACCATTCAATGTTGTGGGACGCATCAATGACAACGCCTATAAGCTCGATCTTCCAGGTGAGTATACCGTCTCGGCAACCTTTAATGTTGCTGACCTAAGTCCCTATTTTACAGATGATGAGGTCGATTTGAGGACAAACGTTTCGCGAGAAGAGGGGAATAATGAGGAGGTCGAAGGAGCTGTCCAAGTGGAGCAAATGAAGGTGCCATTGGAGCCCATGACACGATCTCGCGCCTAAGAGATTAAATGAGACACTGCAAACATTGGTTCGTGTGGCCCGATAGTCGAGTGGAGAGCCAAAGGACATCGAGGGCCTCAACGAAACTAGGCTTGTTGTCCTAGTTTCGGCCATCACTGAAGATTAGAAGGCCATGAGTCGGCTAAGGGGTCCACGCCCTATTATTAGTTTAGTAGAATGCAATAAAGAGGTCCAACTAGTTTATGGTTTGGGCCTCAGTTCTTGGGTCAATGGGCCGGGCCATGTGGGCCTTATGGCCAATAGCACTTTAGTGAGCTACGTAGTTAGTCCCTACGCTGAGCTAGTTCAGGGGTGTCGCTGACCATGAGTGGCCCGTGCCCAAGACCATTAGCGAAGTTCGAAGTTTCCACGGCCTCGTGAGTTTCTATTGCCGGTTCGTGAGGGATTTTAGTAGTATTGCTGCCTCTCTGACCGCCATTATCAAGAAAGATGTGAAATTCGAGAGGGGGAAGCTAAGGAAAAAGCGTTCCAACTCCTTAAACAGAAGCTCACACACGCACCCTTATTGTCCTTACCTATCTTTGATAAAACATTTGAGATTGAGTGTGATGCTTCTTGTGTAGGAATTGGAGTCGTATTGATCCAAGTGGGAAGGCCGCTCGCGTACTTTAGCGAGAAATTGAATAGTGCTGCCTTGAACTACTCCACCTACATTAAGGAGCTCTATGCTTTGATTCGTGCATTGGAGACATGGCAACATTACCTGCGGCCTAAGGAGTTCGTCATCCACACTGACCACGAGGCACTAAAGCATCTCAAGACTCAACACAAGTTGAGTAAGAGACACACGTATGGTGGGTCAATTTTGTGGAGTCCTTTCCCTATGTGATCAGGTACAAAGCTGGCGAGACTAACGTCGTTGCCGATGCACTGTCCAGGAGGTATGCTCTAATTGTTTTGCTTGATGCTAAACTCCTTGGATTTGATCTTATCAAAGAACGCTATGATACCGACTCTGATTTCTTTAAAATCTACAAGTCATGTGCTAACTCG